GACGTTGTCATTTTTGTCATCGTCGTCATCATATTGGTTATTGTTGATATTATATTGAAGAATCGATCTTGGCTTCTTCGATAGCGAGATATTGAATTTTCTTACGGTGTCTTTCGCTTTAAAGTTTAAATAACGATGTAAAAAGAAGGTCACACAGATCAAAATATCAGTCGTATTTCTCGTGAAAAAAATATAGATTAGAAGTATACAAAAACAAATATAAACATTTGTCTTATCAGTCTGATCGACATAGTTCTAATGAAATTATGAAGTAATATTTGAAATGTTTTCTGGCAGTCGTCGTTTAACGTGAGTTTTGATCAATTAATAAATCTTCGTTAAGAGGAAAGCGAAAGCATGCTGCGGCTAAAGATTTTTTTCTTTCTCACTTTCTCTCTCTCTCTCTTTCTCTCTCTCTCTCTTTCTCTCTCTCTCTCTTTCTCTTTCGCACTCTTTCTTTCTCTAGATAGAAAAGAATAATTTTTCTCACGAGCTTGTTCCTAAAGAACGGGGGCAATTAAATCTACCCTTTTATATACGTTCCAAGTAATTAAAGACTGGCACGTACGATAAAACGTGTTTTATCTCGAGGATTTGAAGAATTACTTATACCTTTCTTCTGTTAAAAATAAAAAACTGTAATAAGAAAAAGAGGGAAAGGGAGAGAGAGAGAGAAAGAGAGAGAGAAAGAGAGAGAAAGAGAGAGAAAGAGAGAGAGATATCGTACAAATCCATCGTACTTAAGAGCACCCGGATAATAAAATCGAAATGAGTTCTTTCTCTCCTGCGCTATTTAAACGGCAATTAGCGTCTGCATTTTTATGCTAATTTCTTTTTGTCCTTTCTTTTTTTTGTCAGTGAAATTTTATTGCCATATTATAACGTTTTCGTTGCTGTTCCTATAGATTAATTTTATTTCGAATCGAATATTATTCCATTTTTCTTCTTTTCTCGGAGATTGAAATTGCTAAAATTTGTATAAACAAAAGAACGTTATACCGTTTCTATGATAAAGTGCTACTGTTTTTAGTATAGATATTACATGCTCCAGTCTATGGATGACAAAAACAAAAAAATAAAAATAAAAAGAAGAAAAATGTTTAAAGCTGTATGGACCACGAATTGGTATCGTTTT